CTACTTACCTGGCACAGGAACACTATAACACCGCGCCACGTCAAAATTCCTTGAAGCATGGAGATGATATGTGTGCTTACATGGATACACACATATAGGATATGCATGTATGTATGCATATATATGCATAATATATATATCATTATTGGGGAGTTAATGCCGACGGGGGCGAATAGTCGCATCCACCCTTCATTTCCACCTACGAGGGTCTCTAATGGTGATCCGCCAGGTAGGGACTCGGTCCATCTCTAGCTCTCCACGATAGGATTGATCGATCTGCTAAAGCCCCGACTTCCTGGGTTATCCCACAGGCATCCTCCACCCTGGGTTGTCTCGAACAAAGACAATATGGTGAGTAGGATCATCCTGTGGGAAATAAATAAATATGCGTATATTGAATGTGTGTGCACGATCATAAGAAGTCACATACTAGTACTTAGACATTGTATGACGCTACTTACCTGGCACAGGAAGTGGAACCAATAAGCAAGCATTTCTGTTATATTAAGGTTTCAGGATACCCATATATATCACCTATATAAAAAATTACGCAGTGGTACTTAAAAAGTACAGGAGAAATATAGGTGATGCTAATATCTCTTCTCACTTGAAGACAATAGTCTCACTTTCATATCTTTTTTATATATACATAGTATATGTTTATACTTGTGTACAAGTTGTATATGTACATAGATATATACATTCACTTATATATAGATATATTTGTTTCTACATACATATAATTAAAGACCATGTGGTACTTACCTGGCACAGGAAAGTGGAACTAATAACCAAGCACTTGTGTGACATTAAGGTTTCAAGGTACCTTGAAATAGTGATTTCACTAATTCATCTACATATAAATTGTACAGTGGTTCTTACAAGATGCTAATATCCCTTCTCACTTAAAAATAACAGCCTCACTTTATATATATACATATATATGTATATTACCATTATGCATGTACATGGAAGTGCTTAAAGATTATAAGATGGTACTTATCTGACACAGGAAAGTGTTGCCTGTCGATTACTTGGAAACACGTGGCATTTAAGTCTTAAAGGTAGATATAAAAAAGTGGATTCACTAATCTATATACAGAAATGATAAATTTTTATTTACCTGGCACAGGAAGACTATAACACACCATGTCAACATGATCGAATCCCTCTCTCACTAAATAAGTGTGCACATATATGCATATACATATGTATGTATGCACGTATATGTATATATGTATATATATATATACAATAATCATTAGGAGCTAACGCCGACGGGGGCGCATATACGCATTCACCTTTCGTTTCCACTGCAAGGGTCTCTCATGGCGAACCGCCAGGTAGGGGCTCGGCCCAACTCTAACTCTTCACAATAGGTTTGATCGATCAGCCCAAGCCACGATTTCCTGGGTCATCCCACTCAGGGTTGTCTCGAACAAAGACCTTATAGGCAGGATCATCCTGTGGGAAGCGAGCAAGGTAGCCGTATAGCCTGAATATCCTTAAATACATACACATATACAAATAGATATATATACATATATTAAATGTGTATGTACGTTCATAAGGAATGATATACTAGTGCTTTGACACTGCACTGTGGGTAGGATCATCCTGTGGAAAACGAGCAAGGTAGTCGTATAGCCTAAGAATCCTTAAATACAGATGCATATATTAAATGTGTGTGCATGTTCATAAGAAGTAATATACTAGTGCTTAGACACTGTATGACGCTACTTACCTGACACAGGAAAGTGGAACCAATAAGCAAGCACTTGTGTGATATTAATGTTTCAAGTTACCTTGGAATAGTGGATTCACTAATTCAACTACATATATATATAAATATATATATATATATATATATATATGCAGTGGTTCTTAAAAGGCACAGGAGAAATATAGGAAATGCTAATAACTCCGATAATAGCTTCACCTTCTTTCTTTACATATATACTTATACATATATTTCCATTATGTATATACTTGAATATTACATATGTACATGGATGTACATACGTGGCATTTATGACTTAAAGGTAAATTTCATAAAGCGGATTCATTAATCTATCTACATAAATGATGGATTGCTACTTACATGTCACATCTACATTCCTTTCTGCATGAAGATAATCGCTTCTCTATAACTATACAAATGTGTATGTGCACATATATGCATACACATATAGGGTGTGCATGTATGTAAATAAAATGTATGCATCCATAAATACATACATTATATACACACATATATATTAATTGTATGTATGCTCGTTCATAAAGTCATATAATAAGTGCTTAGACATGGTATGATGGTACTTACCTGGCACAGGAAAGCGGAATTAATAACCAAGCATTTGTGTGACTTTGAGCTTTCAAGGTATCTTGAAGTAGTGGATTCACTAATTCATCTATATAAAAAAAATGTGTAGTAGTACTCAATTGGCACAGGAGATATATAATGAAACAAGATCCCAATTTCTCTTCTAGTTTGAAGATAATACCCTCTCTTTATACATATATGAGAGTGTGTGTGTGTGTGTGTGCGTGTGTGTATGTGACTTAAAGGTAGATATAATAAAGCAGATTCACTTTTCTATCTTTAGAGGTGATGGGTTGCTACTTACCTGGCACAGGATGCCACACCATGTCAATTCTCCTTTCTACATGAAGATAATCTCCTCTCTCTCTCACTATATAAGTGTTTATATGCAACTATATTCATGCATATATATGCATTGGGTGTGTATATATATACATGTATCCTTAAATACATAAATATATATATGCAAATACATATCCATATTTATACATGCATATTTGTATATGAAAATATATTTACATGTATATGGAAATATATGCAGGTGTGTATGTGTATGTATGTAGTTGTGTGTATATATGTATATATATAAATGCGTGTGTAAATGTAAGTGTATATACATATATATATATATATGCGTATAATATATATATATATATATATATATATATATATATATATATATATTATAAATATATATATGATGGGCATCGATACACAGAATTGTCTAAAACGGTACTGATACTTGAAAATTAACTAAAGCGATTCCGATACATCCATTCTTCGTAGGTAAAGCGATACAAAAAAAAAAAAAAATGTGACGCCGATACTTAAAGAGAATCCAAACTGACAAGTAAATATCGGATTTGGATGTTTGATGCACCGCAAACAATACTAGCAGCAGGAAAAGCGTATATTATGCGTGGATATTTCGATATAAATAACCTATGTAACATAAAGAAAAAGAGAGGGATAATAATATCGATGACAATTTAGTTCCAGTTTAGTTAATTCCAATTTTAATATATTTGGGATCGGAATGATAGAATCATATTTCATAATTTGGCAACTAAGGACTAGCACTTCTACACAAAAGCTAAATTTTCTATACAGCATCTTAATCCTCCACTTTAAAAGTATATATAGGCCTATATTGCATATAGAAAATCGTTACTAAGCATTCCAAAACAGATTTGCAATAGTGAGTGCTTAAGTAACATCAACATCCAGCAAACAATATACGGCATACATTTAGATAAACGTTCTTGCATACGTTTAGATAAACGTTCTTGCATACGTTTAGATAAACGGTCTTGCGTTGCATTTTACATAATGGAAAGGAAATTCAAGTGTATTTTTTGCCGAACAATTGCTTTATTACAACCTGCACAGAGTTTGAGAACATTTTTTTCATAATTACTGGTTTTGTCAAAAATTTATATGTATATAAAAAAAATCTAGTTGCTCTCCCAAGAACAAACACATTTAGAACTGTTCACATTAATTCATTTTCTGCAACACACGAATCGTCCAAGGAACAAGGTAAATAATTAATAAGAGCTGAAATAAAGAGATGACGGGTAATTTTGCAATTAATTTTAATTTCAAATTGGTCATGTAAATGTATCAATATACTTTTGAGAAAAACACCCTAGAATTACCAATAAAACGATAGTTATTGAACAGACGATACCAATACCAGTACAAAAGCATCGACAGTACAAAATCATATCTCTCTCTCTCTATATATATATATATTTATATATATATATATATATATATATATATATATATATATATATATATATATCTGTGTGTGTGTGTGTGTGTGTGTGTGCATGTGTATGTGTGTGTGTGCGTTTGTGTACGTATTAATATATATACGCACACACACACAATATATATATACTTATCTATTCATTCATATATATAATAATAATAACAATAATAATTATTAAATATATAAATATATATGGGTGTATGCGCGTCCAAAGGAATTTTCAGTCCGTGTGCATTATATGTAAGGTGTTTTATGCCGGCGATTAGTCTGATTAGTCCTTATATGTGTTTGTGTGTGTGTGTGAGGGAGAGAGAGTATGTGTGTACTTGTAAGTATGTATGTATATATGAATGAATATACACACGCACACACACACACACACACACACACACACACATATATATATATATATAATTTTGTGTGTCTGAATACATACATGTAATGACGCTCAAACATTTGTCCTTTAACTTGTCTTAAAATTAATCTCTTCCATCTTATTTCAGCCAATTCTAAAATACCCTATTGCGAACCTAACGAAATCTAACCTAACCCATGCTAAACTAACCTAGCACAACCATATCCAGTGTACTTAGTATGAGCCAAACATTCCCGATCTAACCTATCCTAGTATGCCTTGACCTTGCCTTCTTACCTCTCCCACCCAATAAAATCCGACCCAGCCCAACCAAGGATAGGAGTCACTGGGGCCAATCATCTTTTATGATACTATGATACATCATATCGGATTTTCGGAACATTATTCCAGGGAACTATACACAATAACCTGCTCAACATTAGGGAAAACAATAAGCCTACTTATCGACTACATCAAACAACACCCATAAATAAATCAATAGATTGATAACTGATTTTTGAAAAGAATTTTTACACCTTCAGATTTCTATTTTTGGAAGACGTTTATACAACCGGACTCGCCGCCAAGAAGGGAAGTATCTCTCACTACAACATCTTCACTCTTACGAACTCCCTACCCAATAAAATTGACGTGCTCTGGTGTTCGGGAGCAAGAGTATTTCAAGTACGTGCCAAAATGCTGAATTTTACAATGTGTTTGGTGAGACTGCTAGAAAGGAAAGGAAATACTGAAATTCATAAAGATTTGTCATAATGAAACGGAAATTCAACTTCTTTACGTGTTTCTTTTTCACTTCAAAAGATGCCTAAATCTGCCATGAAGTATTTCCTACCGTTCTGAGATTATTTTAATTTCCCTTGCGATATGTATATAGTCTACATATTTGCTTGTGTGTAGTGAAAGAGAAACGTGTTTACCGACATATATGCACTCTCTCTGTATGTGCATGTGTGTGTGTTTGAGTGTGTGTGTGTAAAATATATGAATGTTCACCTAACGCTTTTTATTTTTTTCAGGAGAACGTTGGCCTAAAAGAAGCAACGAGAGGATGGAACAAGATTCGCGAGTTGGAAGGCATCACTGAGCCTCCAGAATATGTATTCACTCCCTGACCTTCAATCGTTATTAGTCCTCTTCCTTTCCCTTCTTGATCTGAGTTTACGTTATTAACCTTATATTGCATATTCTGGATTTTTATTTTATTTTTTATTTTTTGTTTTTTTTTTTTTTATTTTTTTCTTAAGCATGTCTTTGGAAATTGTTTTTCGCAGTTTGTTTAGGATTTATTTGTTTGTTTCATCCCTGCCACACACATACACACATTACGTTACATTTTACTTTATCTATTTTCTCTTAGTTCAAAATGGTATCTTGGTCACTTAGTCACTACACATAATTTGTAATATAAAATGGTATGGTATATCAAATTCATGGCATAAAGTGTTCTTTGAACGACTTATTTTTAATTCCAATACGTTGTGGATTATTGTTATATTCTATATGCTTTATGCTTATATCATAAGGTGTAACTCCCTAAAATAAAAAAGGAGGAGGGGACCAAGGGAAAAATGGAGATATGCATGTTGTATAGAATAATGTAAATGTGAATATGTAATAAAATATTTGTATCGACAAGTCTAAATTGTGTTTCCATGTACTGTACAAATTTAATTCCATCGCAAGGTTTTTCCACGAGACTAGAGAACAATGCATTTTCGTAAGTTACTTTAACACCATCAAAACTATAACTTAACTTAACACAATGGTTTATAATATCACTTATACATCTATATTAGCTAATGCACAGGCCTATTATGACATTTTTTATTATTCCATTGATGATACATACTATTCCAATGCAATAATACGAATGAAAATATGTACTAAAATAATTTCTCATAAAGTATATAAATGAATCATTTTGAATCACGGTACAGTCAAAGCTCTCCAGATGAAGCGTATACCGTCCCATAGTGATTGGTATTTGTTCTTTTATTTTCATCAGATAATTTACTAATACTTTGTTATTATATACAGAACTGCTGTCTGATACATACTATTCCAATGCAATAATACGAATGAAAATATGTACTAAAATAATTTCTCATAAAGTATATAAATGAATCATTTTGAATCACGGTACAGTCAAAGCTCTCCAGATGAAGCGTATACCGTCCCATAGTGATTGGTATTTGTTCTTTTATTTTCATCAGATAATTTACTAATACTTTGTTATTATATACAGAACTGCTGTCTGATACGATAAGGCCTATGTGTGATTCATTTACGTATTTTCTCATGAGATGAATAAAAGCAAAAAGGCTCCATTTAATTCTGTGATATCGCGTTTTTAATGCTAGTTGACTTAATATCCAGCAGTCAAGTTTTAGAATTTTATTAATAATCAGACTGAAAGGCACATTTTCGGACATAAGAAAACAAGAAATCTGGTTGAGAGTGTGGAAAATATCGTTTTCGAGTGATGCCAATGATCATATCTTTGTTATTTTTCTGAAACTAAGGAGTGAAGTAAAAGTGATTTACAAAGAGAAATATGTCGCATATTATTATAAAACCAATAAAACTCTTTAACCATACTGATGGATCTCTTTTAATGGTTGACAGCCAAAACAGCTTATTTTTTAGAGAGGTAAGATAATTGACAAAATAAAAGCCTAGGCCTACATCAACTATATGGCCTGATAAGTTCCCAGAAATATGTTCGGGCGCCTTTTGAAAAGATTTTTTTCCACTGATGTAAAACTCAGTGAATGCAAATGAGTTCTTGCAATTTCGCTATCTTCAGTAAGGAATTGTTTCTTTCTTTAAAAAACTAGAAAAGGACAGTCCACAGTTGTTGGGATTTCTCCCGGAACTAAAGAAAACGATACAGTAACGTAATTATTTATGCCCACAACACAAAGAAAATAAAATCGTATATCTCAGCAAGGAATTTTATGTTGATTTTCCAAGATTTACAAGTCGATGCAGACAGATTTCAGCTTTGACTAATACTGTGCA